CACTTGGTAGAAAAGCAAAACTTCTGGAGTTACCACCTGCCCTAAGGACAGTTCATCTCCGATGGAGACCACAACAACCTGAGGTGCCATCACCCTCTCCTGCCAACGGGCTCTGGTCATGTAGGGTAAAAAAAAGGACCATCTCTGCTGAGAAACCGGGCAAACGTGGCCTTAATGCCTTTCAGCCGAGGAGGATAAATAATGACAAAGAGGATGACGGACACGGTGCCACGTTTGAGAGGAACAGACGGGAAGGTGCTTGGTTGCTGCAGCAACAAGGCCGGGCTTTCAGAAAGATGGGTTTTTCTTTCTCTTTTCACCTGCCAATCTTCCCCCCACGTCAGCGCTGTGCCGCTGCGGGAGACGAGCGCTGACATTTACACTCCCACTAACAAGCTGGTTTGGTGGCGGGCAGCTCTGCAGGAGAGCATCTGGTGTCACAGAGCCCGAGCAGAGAGGAGGAGACGGGTCCTCTCAAGCAGTTAACATAATTTGGAATTTATTATTATTATCAGTATTATTAGAGCAGGAGTGTGCACGGAAACAGCAGGCGAAGCCTCGGTGGGGCGTGCAGCATTTCCTGCCCTTCACGTGGGTCTGGTCCTGCAGCTGATGGGAGCAAGGAGATGACACTCCTGCCCAGAAAATGTCTCTGCATGTCCTGCTGGGAGAGGGAAGGAAACGAAAAGAAAAAGGAGATGATGAGCAAGAAGTCAAGCTACACCAGAGGAGCAATTTTGCTTCTCAGCCTGGCTCGTGATGGCAGGCTGTGGCGTCAGCCGTGCCCCGCAGCTCGGTGTTCCTCAGTGCCCCATGGAAGCTGCCCATGTCTTTGACTCCCTGGCAGAAACCTTGTTATGATGGCAGAGGTGAAGCTCTGGCTGCTCTCTCCCTCACGGCAGGTTTGCCCACTGCTGTACCTCACTGTGATTTCCTTTGCCTTCTGGGTAAGACAACTTTCAATTCATCCAATTTATCCCAGTAATAATAGTAATAACAACAATAATAATGCTACTGCAAAGTAAATGCAAGAAAAATATAACAGCTCTGAAATTAATTGCATGAAATAGTGGTGCAGGAAACTGCTTTGGGTCATCTCTTCTCTCTCCGGTTGATTCGCTGCTGGCATCAGGGAGAAAGTGGAAATCAAGAACCAGCAGCGTCTCCTGGCTGCCAGACCGCTCTGCCACTGCAGCCAGCTGAGAAGGTGCCCTGTTGGACTATGACCCCCACACTGGTGGTGGAAATACAAGAATATCACGGCAAATAAAACCTGAAATATTCCCATGCCCGACAGAGCCAAGGAAGCTGGGTTTCCTGAAGATCTGTAGATGCAAGCCAAAGACACATGTGGAGTCTCTGATGCCTGCAATGGATTGCACTGATCCGTTTATTTGAGTGAGAGCATTAATAGGGTTTCTCTTCTCTACAGTGTCATTCTTTTTGACAAAGCTTGGACGTTCCTGCTATCTTGGAGATCTCCACCCTTCTGTCAAATCAAGGTGAAAGTATGGGCTAAAAGTTGTTAGCAAGACACAGACAAATAAGCTGCTCCACCTCCTTCCCTGTCCCCATCCTTCCCTCTGAGCATGTGCTAATGAGCCTTTTTTCATTAAGAAGCCAGGCTAAAAGATTTGGATGTCAAGGAGGGCAGCCCACCTCTAGTGTCTGTGTCCCTTCCTGAAGCTGATGCGGCCCGCTCAGACTGAATCTGAAGAGGCAAAGTACCTGATGTGTTGTAACCCAGTTTTCTGAGTAAAAGAAGAAAGCTCCGTTTTTCTAAATCTTCACTAAAAATCTCCCTACATTTTTCAGCTGGTGCTTAAAAGTATATCCAGTAATCTGCAGGGAAGAGATGACTGATCAAATGTACATTCAAGCCTGGGGGAAAAATGCATGAAGGCAGATTAAAAAAGACCAGATAAATAATCCTTCAAATATGGAAACTTCAGAAATTAAGAGGATATTTGCAGAAATCTCTTACGACAGAGAGAACATGGGAAGCATCGGCAAGGTTGCCAACTGACCAGCGTATGAGGGTTACACAGAGGAGAAGCCGAACCTGCCCACCAACAATGCCAGTCACGTCGGCAGCGGTGCAACACGCACAGTGGTGGTAGCAAATCTCTTGGCAGCGATGCCGACCAGCAAAGCATGGAAAATGAGATCACTTGTGGAGTTTTTTCCGGTGACTGAAACTCTGCGGGGGTGACCCCTAACCAGACCTCAGCATCTTTCAGCAGAGAGTTCGGGGTGGAATGTTTCTCCTCCTGGTACTGGAGCCAGCGGCGAGAGCTCCAGCTGGGCAGAAGCTTGGCAGCTCGCACAGGCAGTGGGGCCAGATGAAGGAGAAGTAGAAAAAAGCCACTTTTTTAGCATTCCTGACTGGAACCCTCTTTTCTTCTTATTAAAAAAATATATATGTAATTTTTTTTTTTTTTTTCTGTTATGGAAAGGCTTTTTTAATTTTGAAAATTGAAAGGTTTTCATGCTTTGCAGGTTAACTTTTTTGCCATCAAACCCTAACATGGCAAAAGGCATAATCCTTTTGCAAAAGGTGCTTCCCTGAAAGACAGTGCCAGTGCCAGGTAGACAGCTCTTGAATCAAAACCCCCCACGCTCATGTTGGTGTTCGGTTTTGGACCCTTTCGACATCGTTCCAATATAGTTTTCTGCTTCCTGAATCCTTGCCCTTCCCCAAAAGTGTGGGTTGCTTATTGTAAAACCTGCCAAGCAAAGCAAGTGAAGCAACTGTCCTACAAGGGCAGGAAACAAGCTGTGCCACCCACCAGTCCACGTGTCCATGGAGTAGCAGAAAACACCCAGAACCATGCAGAGGCTTCGTTACCAACTGCAGACACTTCTACGGGCGTAAATACTGTTCTTTAACTGTGTGGCTGCACCTCATATGATCCCTATGCGATTTTCCTCCCATGTCCGTGGAGCAGGGCTGTCAATGCTGGTCAGACCCTGGTCGATTCAACAGGTTTGTGCAGACCTGTTGGGTTTCCTTGGGGAATCGGTACCGGCAAATAAGTCTGGAGGCAATATTGCAGAGAAGCGCCAAGCACCGAGCAGAGGACCTCTCTCTGGTTGCACTATAGAAAAAGTGTAGAAACAGGTGCCTTGTACATCTGAGCCAAGCTTTTGGGTCCTGCTGCTGCCCAGATTATCCTCACGCCCCAACTCCACCTGGTCAGCGTGGAGAAGGTGGTTTTGAGAGCCGCACCGAGTGACATCGGGGTCAGATGGGGGAACTTGGTTTCCCTAGCAGTGAAATGAGTCTTTCTGAGACTCACCTCTTCCCCAGAGAGCCGTGACAATTCAATAGGCAATTGTAAAATCAGAATGTAGCTGCTGACTGTGAGTTGCACGCCATTAATAGCCCTATTTATTGCCAACCAAATAATTAGCTTAGACATGCATCAACAGGTCTTGATTGCATATGAAATAACTGCCTTATTACACAGAAATCAAACGAGTTTCTGAGGACAGCTCAGGTGTCACCCCAATCTCAGTATCAAAGAGGAAAAGAAAATAAAAAAGGAAAAACCCCAGCCGTTTCGATGTGTTGCTCAGCAACAGAATTTGCGGGGGAAACAACCTAGGAATGAGCATTTCCAACGGAACAGGTTATTTCAGGCGAGACATCAGGGACAAGCAAATGTCACAGAGGCGGAAACCTTTTTTTTTTTTCCCTTTAATCAATAATTTAAACTAGGCATGTTGGGTAAAATAAGCATTTAAGTTAGCTGATTGAAAAATGGAGTTCCCAAACCTTTACAAAGAGTCATATTGTTGAAGAGATGTTTATTTGTTTGTGTGAGGGAAACATTAGATTTACTAGACACTGAATTAAAAATTGAAAATGCTCTTAGAAATGTCACCTGTTCGTTTAAAGAGGAAGATGATGTAATGCCAACTTTGCTATATTGTGCAGCATCCCTCCCAGAGCAATCTCATATTAATTTTGTTCTTCTCCTTCCCGCTTGCCCTCCCCTCCCTCCCTTCTCCTCTCTCTTCTAGGACAAGACGAGCGCGCTGAGCCTCAGCAATGTGGCGGGGGTTTTCTATATCCTCATCGGTGGGCTCGGACTAGCCATGCTGGTTGCCTTAATCGAGTTTTGTTACAAGTCCAGAAGTGAATCAAAGCGGATGAAGGTGGCAACCCATTCCCCGGCTTTTCACACCTTCTCTCTGATCCTACCCCAGCTCCAAAGCTGTCTTCAGAGACGGATGCAGCCCAGACCATGGGTGGAAACCAAGACATAGGGATAACGAAGTGACCGTGTCACTCGGTTTCCTAGAAAAGAATAGGAGCGTCAGAGGAAGCTAAAAGAGGGTCAAGGGGGCTACAGCGGGGAGCTGATGCAAAATCAGACATGTGACAAAATGCTGGTTCAAAATCCAGATATAGAGAAAATCATACCACAAACAGTACCGGGAACACATTGCCATTCCTTAAAATTAAAGAAAAGAGACCATGGCAATGCGTGTGCAGCACGGATGAAGTGTGCTGGGGTTGGTGTGATAAAGCTGTTACTGCAATTAAAAAAATTCCCCAAATCCAAGCAGTTGGCCGCAAGATGAAACTGGGGTAGTGCAGTAATGAATCAGGTCCTGTTCCCTTCACTGGCATCCCGCTGGCACCACTTGCAGGTTGGCAACAGTGATACATGCTCAGAGCATTTTTGCCCTGGAACAGGTGATGTGGGTGTCCAAATTCAGAATTATGGGTCCTCTGAGAGAGAAACTGGCCTCTAATGTCTCCTGTAACGCATTTTTTCCTCCACCCTGTCATGGTCTTGCAGAAGCGTACTTGCTATGACCCAGGAGATTTGTTTCAGCCCTAAGTTCTGGTGTGCCTAAACTTCAGTGCCATGTCACGAGTGGATGAGATCTGAGAGCCCTGGGGATGCACATTTAATGCAGCATCTGTGGAACAAGTGCATCTTGACCCAGATGACTGGCAGAGGCGATCCCTTGTACAGATGTCATTCTGTACAGGGGTGCAGCGGGATCTGTGCTCTAACACATCCCTTTTCTTCCCCATCTTCACCTCTCCCATAAGCATGGAAGTCGGCATGAGTATATGAAGTACGCAGTGAGTTTCATAATATGTAGAAAGATTTTCACTTCCCTGAGCACTGAAACTTACCCAGAATCAAAAGGAAAATTAGCAATCGTCTCTTTGGGGTTTATGTCACCATTTCACAACATGTTTAATGTTTTGTCAGCAATAATAGCATTCTTAATTCACTGAAAATGTGCAATAGCTTTTTTCCATTGAGGTTCAGAAAAGTCTGCAGGCAATGATAGGTACATTGAGCATGGGGGTAACATGATGCAAGCAATTAATATCCCTGAATATACAAAAATCAAATTATAATCTCTGCCTACACTGTAAAGTTAGACATGTCACAGATACACTGTGAAAAAGTGTCAGGATGCAATAACTCCGTAGTTTTAGTCCTGAGGAGATTCTGTCCTGGTGTCGCCTTCCCTGTGTTGCTAGAAATGACCCGTTCATTCCCGTCAGCATCAGCCGGCAGTGCTTTTGCCGTGTTAAAGCCAGTCACTACGGGAGGGAATCGTTGCTCCCGGGGTTAACGTGTTCTAAGCGTGTTCCTCTGACTGGCTCCCACCATCAGTGGCCACCCCACAAGGCCATTCAGCAGAGCACAGGAGGCAAGTGTCCAGAACGAGAGATCCGATCCCCCTCTAAAGCCCACCTCTGCCCAGCAATCCCCTGCAGACCCCCCGGGCGAGCTGCCGATCCTGCCAGCGCAGGAGGCTGCTCCATGCCTCGCAAAGCACTGAGCTGACTGTTTCTGAACAGCTGTTCCACATTCATCTGTTCCGGGTGATTCTTCATCGGTATATCCCAGTCCAGACAAGATGATGTTGCCCTTAGGGACAGTTTAAACACAAAGAAACCAAGTTAACTTCATCACTTAGTTTAATTGTTCTAAACAGGTGGTTTCCTTAGATCTCTGAAAGCAAACATTTTGGACAGTATCTGGAACAGGAAGATGAGGTTTGGGTTCCTGAATTAGGTTTGCATTTCCTGTTTACCTCAGTCGTGGCTGTAGACAAAAGCCCAGGCACATGCTGCACCGCTCACCTGAGGAGAGTTAAACGTACGCTCGCAGTGAGCCAGAGTCCACCGTACGTGACAGCGCGGGGAGTCATAGCATCCCCGTGGGGGAAGTGTGCATGATACCTCTGCTCAGATCCAGGATGGCTGTTCCTATGTTGTAGAGTTTGAATAGTTTTTGCATATGGCACGTATGCTTTATACCCCAAAATACTGCTGAAACGTTTAATTTTGAATGCAGAAGAGGTGTGAATTAACAGAGCAGATGCAGTAGGGACATGCCAAAAGCGAGAGTCTGAATGGAGACAAGGAGGGAGAGAACAGTGATGGAAAGAAAACACTGGTTTATATTGTAATTTCTCCAACATTGCTAAGGACAGGGGGAGACCCCCCCCGTCCTTCCTAAAAAGGGTTTTTGTTTAATCCCACAGCAATCAATCAACGAAGCCATACGGACATCAACCCTTCCCAGGCCGGCTGCAGCAGGAGGCAGTGGAGAAAACGGACGTGTGGTCAGCCACGATTTCCCCAAATCCATGCAGACGATCCCGTGCATGAGCCACAGCACCGGCATGTCCCTGGGAGCTACAGGATTATAATTGGCCTTTTGACCCATTGCCTGGGTGAGAGCAGGGGCAGCCCAACTCCACCTCCTCCAGAGCCAAAAACAAACCCAACTCCAAGACAAACAACAATGACAGAGGGACAATTGGATGGATCTTTTCAAGGAAATCAAATATATTTCCCTTTTTATTTGCAAACAGATCCGCCGGCAGGAGAACAGAAACAGGTCTGTACTGCAATAAGGAGAGTGTTATGGGATTTAACAGACTCGTGTACCGTCCCTGATCAAAGAACCACTGGAACACTAATGAGGACTATGCCATTTTGTTTTAACTTGGTTGTTAATAAGTCTTAGTGTGTGCAATATATATATTTTTTCTTACTAATTCCTGTGGTGTCAGGGTAACATCAGCCCTTTCCCCCTCCCCTGCTCAGTCCTACAATCTGGTTTAGTTTGGGATGCAAACCATAATGTCCAAGCTACTAACAGCAAAAAAGAAAATCCGATCAATGGCAAGTTGAACTCCCCACGGGGCATCAGCATCGACCCCTTTGTCCATGGTGATTCTGCCTTCCGTTGTTCTGTTGTGAACTCGGGCTGTGGAGTTACTGCAACAGGAAGAACTTGATGCAAGAAAGAACCTGAACAAAAACACGAGGCTGTGTTACAGGGGCAAAGTCACGAGTAAGTTTGGAAACCCCAGGTAACCTGAGGACAAAGTGATGATTGTTCCATAGATGATGAGTGTCTGTTCAAGAGAAGGATCGTGTGCCTGGAGAGCATCATGCCTGGCAGCAGAGAGGAGACGGTTGGTCTAAGACCACGGCTGCTTTTCATGGAAGAGAGAAACTAAAAGCAGCGTTCCCCTCACATGCGATCCTCCTGCCGGGGTTATTGGGGGCTAATAAGCAATTGTGAACCATTTCTTCACTGCTTAGCTTCTGTGTGTGCTCCCTTGTTGGTGGTCACATCAGGGAACCGCCTTGAGCCGGGAATCGACCATCTCAAACACCCAGTTCTAGATGGCTGCCTAATAACCAGCGAAACATGCTAGAAGTCACGGGGCTGCAATAGGAATATCCATGACTTTTTGCTCTAAAACCCCTTTATGGCCATTTTTCTAATTAAGAGGGACATTTTGTAGATAGTTAGCCAGAACGGCTTCCTGGAAGGAACTGCTGAAGTAAACCAAGGAGGAGACCCTACAAGAGCTTCATTCAAGTGTCCATGATGTTCAACAATATCAGGGCTGGTGAAACTTGGCCTTCCCATCAAGTTGTGGCCTGTCTGGGTACAAAGCCAAAAGTAGCAGATTCACATTTAAGTATCCTTAGGAAGGGGGAAGCACCCACGAGCCTGGATATGTCCATGACGTTCAACAAGTGTCCATGACGTTCACGGGGCTGGTGAAACTTGGCCTTCCCATCAAGTTGTGGCCTGTCTGGGTACAAAGCCAAAAGTAGCAGATTCACATTTAAGTATCCTTAGGAAGGGGGAAGCACCCACGAGCCTGGATAGCAGGTTGCTGACTCTGAACTTGGCGTTGCAGAAACCCACGCTGACGGGCAGGCAGCTGAGGGGCCAGCCGCAGGCGTGGAGACCAGAAGGGCAAGGATGGCTTTCCAGAGCTGCACAAAAGGCTCGTTCTGTGAATCGCTGGCATGGACAGACAAATGCTTCCCACCTGGTTGGCCTGAGGCACCTCCCCAGTAGTGAAGGATTCCCGGGGGAATGCATGGAGAGAGAGAAGACCTGTGGGGCAGGGATCACAGGGAACCCACCTCGCCTTGTCCTATCTCACAGGTCTGTCACTGATGGCAAATAAGGTTCAGTGCTTCTCGCAGGACCCAGCAAATACCTGTCAGGGGACAGAGCTGCTATTGGAGCATTCTGAGCTGCTTTTTCCTCATTTTTTTCTCTTTTTCTTTTTTTTTTCTTTCTTTTTATCTGCACCATAGAGAGGAGCAGGAAGAGAAGAGAGGCAGGAGAAGAGAAAGCGATGCAGACAAACGACTGGCACAGGCTTATGAGGAGGGTCTGGCTATGCAGCTGTCTAAGTACAGCTGGAAGTTGCCGGAATACCAGTTTCCATTAGCGTACAAATGTGCAGAGCAATATGTTTACCACCTTTAACACCAGCCTGGTCTGAGATATCTGTTCCACTTACCCACTTGTCATGCAGCTCTTCAGAGACCAGCAAGTCCAAGTCCTGAGCTCAGGCACAGCATGTCTTGTGCCAACGTTTTCCTCTCTCCGCCAGTGGAAATCCTTGTGATCTTCACCTCTCAACACCGAACATGAACTCTGTTATCAGCCACTCCAAACACCTCTTCAGGTCACTTTCTCTTGGTTATCATTGTCTTTAATCAGCTTTTCTCTTCTTAATTTTAACTTCAGTTCTGTGTAAGTGCTAGCACGGTGGAGGCATCCCACAAGCTAGCCTGTTGCCATGCCAGAGCTCTCGGATGCATCTCCTGACCCAGCTCTTGCCATGTCCCGGACCTCGCCACGGCACAGCACTGCCGGGCGCTGCAGCGGGAGCAGGCTGCCAAGGCGCATCAGCACCCTTCCTGGACCACATGGCAGCAGGTCGCAGGGTAGTCACAGACGGTCTCGAGAGAAGCAGCGCATCTGTGCTAGGACTGGTCCCCTGTGACATGAAGACGTGATGTGGTTTTCCAAGGCTTTTGATCAGTGGAGGAGTTAAAAAAAATTAATAGACAAAAGCGTGGAAAATGTTAACTTGTAATATGTATTTTTACTACACTTTTCTTAAAAATAGAGTAATGGTAAAACTCTTAAAGACATTGACATTTTTTCTCAACAGGAATCCATATTTAACAGTTTTGGCTTTCATTAAATTTTGCTCTTTGGTACCTGGATCTTTTATTTAACAGCTATATTTGTTTTAACTCTTTTGTTTTTTCTTTCTGTTTTTTTCTTTTGTCAGTACTGCAAAGGATTTTGCTTTATCAAACACAACAGTGTTTTTCTTTCCACATTCTCTTTTTTTCAAGCAACATTTTTATTTACACAAAAATGAAACTATCAGCTGGAATTTTAGCACCAAGGATCCATGATCCATTTTTTCATACCTGTCCATGCCATTTTGTGCCAGTGCTGGATGTGTGGAAATGAAAATGATGTTACCCCTCAGGCAATATTACCCAACCTGAATCAAACGAGATTACCTTGATTATTGCTGTGTCTGAATTGTGAACAGCAGCCAAATAAACTGCTTCAGGTTGAAATTGGGAATCTATCTAATATTTACCCAAGAGTCAGGAAACTAAACATTTATTGGGTCCAAAGTTAATGAATTTGCTTTGTTAGAGTTTTGTGGGGTTATTTTTTCAGGAGGACTATTAGAGGATTTTAGCTTGTCTTTACAGAGAGAGAAGACATGGTTAGGTCAGAGATAATTCAGAACCAGCACTGGTCCAAAAAAACCTCACCAGGATCAGCTTTCCTAGGAGCTCCCATGCTGCCTCAGAGGCTTGGTCATTTAAGAGGTTTCTCACTCAGTTTTCACACAATTAACCTGCTAAATTCCTCATCCAAAAGGGGCAAAGAGAGTAGTATTTAAGGGATCTTGGACATTTACGCAGATGCTGACAGCTGCTGAGGTTAACTAATCACGAATGTCACGCTCTTACAAAGCACGTGGTGTCACAGATCTGGAAGGTCCTCCCTTCCCATATCGTCATTCCCATTTATCTGCTGGGAAGCTGAGGCACCAAAGTGCCTTGGACCACGTGTCTCAGCTCACTCCACAGGGCCGTGGTTATAGATTCAACATCTCCAACATTCACAAGGGTTTTTTACCCACTGGTACTTTTTAAAGGTAGAGTCAGCAGGGGGCAGAATTAATCAGTTTGGAAAAGGGCTGTGGACCCTCAGGTTTCAAGGCACAAGAGAATCCAGATCAACGGGGTTGAAGGAGAGGTTTCCCATGGGCAGACTATGCTGGATGAGCCCATTTTGGTCTTCCACAATTGCTTAGGTATCCAGTACTGTACTATGGGCTTGGATCCTGACCCAAAGCACTTCCTGCTCAGTGGTTCACTCTTGGTTCCAAGTGAGGTTGCAGAAATGCACAAGAAATGTTGATTTATATAGAATCACAGAATCATAGAATGGTTAGGGCTGGAAGGGACCCCAAAGATCATCCAGTTCCAACCCCCCCGCCACGGGCAGGGACACCTTCCACTAGACCAGGTTGCTCCAAGCCTCATCCAGCCTGGCCTTGAAGACATCCAGGGATGGGGCATCCACAACATCTCTGGGCAACCTGTTCCAGTGCCTCACCACCCTCTCTGTGAAGAATTTCTTCCTGATATCTAATCTAAACCTCCCTGTTTTCAATTTATACCCATTGCCCCTTGTCCTATCACTAGGACATATATCTTGGCATAAACAGCACAAAATTCCCTCCTACTGGCAAAACCAAATATTCTTTGTAAGAAAGTCTTCAGCAAGAATCCAAAACCATCTTCAGAAGTTGTTGAAAGAAAAAAAAACCACTGAACCTCGAAGTGCAGCAGGTGAGGAACAGATGCACCACCCGGTCCATCCCTTTGATAATAACCCTGGCACCAAGACACAAAGTTGGGATGCTCCAAAAAAAATTTCTGGACTTGTTTGTTCACGTGCCTACCTGCCATAAAATGAGAAGAAGACTTACTCACCTAAACTCAGCGAATGGATGGGTCAGGGATTATAGGGATTCATGTCTGCTGTAACCCAGCGGGTACCACTAACCTGTTCAGCTCCAGCAACTCAGCCACATATCTCCAACAAAAGTTCTGGGAAAGTTTTCGCTGTGCACACAGTCTCATACTGAGCTTTCAATGACATGGACAGTCACCCAAGTTTCACACATGGCTCTGGGTCCCCAGGAGAGCATTTGTGTGCATGTTTCTAACTAACATGTCAGTCCACCACAGTGCCACGTGACAGAGCTTAGATGACCCACCACAGTGGGGTGTGGTAGCCTTAGGACACTGCTGGTACTCTTCACTGGCATGGCATGAGAATTAACAGCATGGATTGGGGCTTAGCTGGTGAAGGTTGCTCTGAAGCACCACCTAGGAGACTGGAGGAGATGGGTTCAGGCTCTTCACACCAGCAAAGGTACCACCAAGTATCTTTCAGAGACCTGTGTGGCCTGATCTCTGATGGCTTTTGTAGCTGCTGACCTCTCTCAAACATAGGTTCCCCAGTTGCCTTCATGTTACCTATGGGTATAAATCAGTTTTTCAGCCATTGGTGCTGATTTTGTGTCCTGGCAGCCTGCTGCTGGCTGAAATCTCCCTGCTTGCGTCTCTGCTACCCAGTTAATTAATTAACAGAATTACAGGGCTATCACTCTGCCA